GGGCTGGGGATTCGAACCCGCCACCTTAGGTGTATGTGGCTGGCGCCTTAGCCGCTTGAGGCACAGGCGCGGAGCCAACTTTTATATTTTTTAAACAAGGAGGGTTTTTTATTTTTATGCTTGAATCATGGTAATGGTTTAAGCAAATCACATTTTATTACTCTGCTTCAAAATGTTATTAACTTATCTAAATGTTTAATTTTTTACATTTAGTCTCAGTTTTATTGCTGTCATTATCTCAGGCAGTCATTTGTGTGCAAGTGGTAACTTAAATTTGTATATAATGTTACAATGTTTGAAGGTACTCATAATGAGTTTATATGTTAGAGTATGGTGCCAGTATTTAATTGTACCTGTATAAAGATGTTTGCTAGAATTTGGGGCCATAAGAGCATATATGTTATATCTATTTATTTTATTTTGCTTATGCATTCACAATTCTCTTTTCTTTGTAACCTTTTACTAAATTGTATATTGTGTTGCTCTTTACTTAGAAAAAAAGCCTATTTCATACATGATCATGGTGAGATATTATTATTGCTGTGGGTTTGTATTTATCTTACCATGATGGTAGTTAACGCAGTTTATTATGTTTTCATGGATATATAGATGGAAACACAGTATATGATGTAAAAAGTATCAGGTATTTTCTGACACATTACCATAGGGTCACATAAAACTCATTATCTTCCTTAGAATTTCTTTACCATTTGCTCATCTTTGGTATAGTCATCCCATTATTCTCAGCCTTAATTTTTTCCTTCCCAGCAAAAGTAAGTCTATCTTTCTTTATACTCCTCGTTGTTTATTATAAAGTCTAATTATAAGCATATAAAGCATATATACTGAGTTACTGAATGGCTTGTTAGAGTGCTAAAGAAACCAAGGCTGGCTTCATCCTTTCCTTGGCCCATAGATTTCTTTGATCTAATCCTTGGACAGTACATAAATCTTGCTTTGCTGTTTCATAAACACTGCCTTTGCTGACAGGGTTGTCCAACTAAGTGTGGATAGTGCAGCAAGAATGTATCCTCATTTATCACAAAGTAAGTAAATAATTGTTTCTTATAGGTGAGCAGCCATAACACATACACAAATGTAATGTGACAAAATTATAGTACATTATTCTTCCTCTTGCTGGGGACAGTGTTGGCTCACCTCTAGGTCAGAAATTTCTCTACTCTGGCTTTAAGATATTTCAAAAGATTTCTGATCATCTAAGCAAGTATGCAGTTATTTGTTCAAGATAACATTTTAAAGCAGTTACTATGCAGAAATAATTTCCATTTAAGAAATTAAATGAAAAAGAAAGGGAGGAATTTTTTTTAACAACTGATAAAGAGAAAATAGGCTATTTGGTTAAAAAAAAAGCTTTGATATGGTTTTCATCTTGTGCCAAGTTAAATTCCAGATGAGTAAATAGTTATTAAACTATAACAGAAGTATGCATAATTAGAATTTAATCCCATAAACAGCTACCGTGTTTCCCCGAAAATAAGACCTACCCCCAAAATAAGCCCTAGCAGGATTTCTAGGCATTTGTTAAATATAAGCCCTACCTGGATAATAAGACCTAGGGATGGGCATGGCTATGCAGCGTATCTGCATAGCCACACCGTGCATTTTGGTGGGGAGAGGAAGACATCCCCTGAAAATAAGCCCTAGTGTGTCTTCTTGAGAAAAAATAAATATAAGACAGTGTCTTATTTTTGGAGAAACA